CATCGCCCCCTCCCCAGGCCGATTTCGTGGCCCCCTCCCCACCCCATTTTTGGGGTCCCCCGTCTCTCACCGGTTCCCCGTTTCTGCAGGCGCAGGCGCTTGAGGATCTCCTCGAATTTGGGGTGCTGGCTGAGGTGCTGCAGCCGCACGTGGACACCCCCGCGCAGCCCCGTGCCCAGGTTGGACGGACAGGTGAGGATGTAGCCCAGGTGCTCCGTCCACATGAAGGGGTGCCCCGCCTTCTTGAAGATCTCCTCGATCTGGGGGGAGCCCCCCAAATTTGGGGGGTTAATTGGGATTAATTAATTGGGGACGCCCCGAAATTGGGGAAAATGGAATTTGGGGACACCAAAAAATTGGGGAAAATGGAATTTGGGGACACCAAAACTGGGGAAAATGAAATTTGGGGACACCAGAATTAATTTGGGGACACCAAAAAATTGGGGAAAATGAAATTTGGGGACACCAAAATTGGGGAAAATGGAATTTGGGGACTCCAGAATTAATTTGGGACACCCCAAAATTGGGGGTTAATTGGGTTAATTGGGGGATTAATTAATTGGGGACACCCCGAAATTGGGGAAAATGAAATTTGGGGACACCAAAATTGGGGATTCCAGAATTAATTTGGGGACACCCCAAAATTGGGGGTTAATTGGGTTAATTGGGGGATTAATTAATTGGGGACACCCCGAAATTGGGGAAAATGAAATTTGGGGACACCAAAATTGGGGAAAATGGAATTTGGGGACTCCAGAATTAATTTGGGACACCCCAAAATTGGGGGTTAATTGGGGGGATTAATTAATTTGGGGACGACCCGAAATTGGGGAAAATGGAATTTGGGGACACCAAAATTGGGGGAGATTGGGTTAATTAGGGACTCCAGGATTAATTTGGGACTCCAGAATTAATTTGGGACACTGGAATTAATTGGCAACACCAGAATTGGGGGTTAATTGGGTTAATTGGGGGGTTCTGGGATTAATTAATTGGGGACACCCCAAAATTGGGGGGGATTGGGTTAATTGGGGACTCCAGGATTGGGGAGATGTGACCCCAGGTGTGCCCAGGTGTGTCCAGGTGTGCCCAGGTGTGCCCAGGTGTGTCCAGGTGTGCCCAGGTGTGTCCCCACGTGTCCCCAGGTGTGTCCAGGTGTGTCCAGGTGTGTCCAGGTGTCCCCAGGTGTCCCCAGGTGTCTCCAGGTGTGTTCCAGATCGGGTTCTAGACTAAGTTCTAGATCGGGTTCTAGAATGTTCTAGACTCGGTTCTAGACTCGGTTCTAGACTCGGTTCTAGATCGGGTTCTAGACTCGGTTCTAGAGTGTTCTAGACTCGGTTCTAGATCGGTTCTAGATCGGTTCTAGACTGGGTTCTAGACTCGGTTCCAGATTGGGTTCTGGATCGGGTTCTAGACGTGTTCCAGGTGTCCCCAGGTGTCCCCAGGTGTGTTTTAGCTGTCCCCAGGTGTCCCCAGGTGTGTCCAGGTGTGTCCAGGTGTCCCCAGGTGTGTCCCCACATGTCCCCAGGTGTCCCCAGGTGTCCCCAGGTGTGGCCAGGTGTCCCCAGGTGTGGCCAGGTGTCCCCAGGTGTCCCCAGGTGTGTCTCAGGTACCTTTTTCAGCCCCACGCAGAAGCGTCTGAACACCTCCTTCATGTTCCCTCCCTTCTCCATGGAGATGACGCGCAGGTGATCCTCCTCGTTCACCCACACCAGGAACGTCTTGTTGTCGTTGTGCCTGGGGACACCGGGACGGTCATGGGGGACATTTGGGGACATTTGGGGACATTTGGGTGACATTTGGGGACATTTGGGGACATTTGAGGACATTTGGGGGACATTTGAGGGACATCTGGGGGACATTTGGGTGACATTTGGGTGACACTGGGTGACACTGGGTGACATTGGGTGACATTGGGTGACACAGGGTGACATTTGATGACACTTGGGGACATTTGGGGACATTTGGTGACATTTGGGGACATTTGGGGACATTTG